TTTGTCTCATAAAATCGGAAGTTATTTATGACTCGACCTAATGAACAATATTCTAATTAGTAAAATAAGTTTGTATATTACTAAATTAAACAATTTTCATTTCGTCATCTTCGGTTTGTCCACTTATTAATCTTAACGTTATTTTTCAAAGTGTGCAATTAAAATTGATAATAAAATAATATTAGTGTACGTGTTAATGAATGAACGATACTTTGAATAGTACAATAAGTTTGTATATTAGCAAATTAGACAGTTTTGATTTCATCATTTTCGATTTATCCACTTATGAATCTTAACCCTTTTGGTACGAGCACTTTTTCCGATACTCCCGGTGTATGAGTTGCCACGCCGAAAACGCGCACAATGCATATGATCAGTCTTCTTTTGTGTAAAAACTTTCTTAACCTTATATAAGATTAATTCTTAATAAAACAATGCTTTCTTCCAAGTATTATTTGTAACTTTAATATTAAGAGATAGTTATATAAAATTCTATCAATTATATACGTAAAATTTATAAAAATTATCTACAGATTATATGATTATATACACAACAAAAATTACTGTTTATATATTATTAGTTATTGTATGATTAGACACTAGACGGCTAATAATTTAACTGGTTGTGATATATTTTGTATGCGTATTATGTATATCCGGCGTTCATCCACACAGGTTATGAGATGGGCGCCGGATGTATTCAGCACCCATACCGACAGGGTTAATGCTACTTTTCAAAATGTTCCATTAAAGTTGATAATGAAATAATATTAGTTTACGTGTTAATAGATGAACGATGCTTTAATTAATAAAATAAGTTTGTATTTTAGCAAATAAGACAATTTTTATTTTGTCATATTTGATTTGTTCACTGATGAATCTTAATGTTATTTTTCAAAATATACAATTAAAATTAATAATGAAACAATATTAGTGTACGTGTTAATGAATGAACGATACTTTAATTGGTATAATAAGTTTGTATATCTAATTGTGATTATGGTTATTATTTCTCTTTTTTTCAAGATTTATTTTAACTTTTAAACCCGTTTGTCACTAATGGAATATATGTATTAAATATTGAAAATATTTTATTGATAATTTTTGTTTAACCCTTTGCACTTAAAAGGCTTCGCTACGAAGACAACAAAGTAATAAAAACTGAAACAAATTCAATTTATTAGGTCGAGTAATAAATAAATTCCGTTCTTTATGAGACAAAGAACGGTGTTTCTGTCACTAATAAGTGCAGGGCACTTTACATGGTGTTTTTTTTTTTTTTTTTTTTTGTATTCTTTGTATCTGTTGGACGTATCTATTGAATTTTACTCCAATATTACCTTTAAAAGGTTCGTCAAAGTTGGAAAAACGTCCTGCACTCGGTTCATCTTCTAAGATCGTATCTCCAGAACGGAATTTTACAAACCAATTTCTGACTGCCCTATCAGTTATCAATCCTGCACCGTATATGCTGCATATTTTTTCAGTTGCACATTAGTGCTATTGCTTTGTTTCAATTCCTAAAGCATTACACGTCGAATATGCACTTTTTACTATACATTTCAGAAATTAAGAAAAATGGTTAAATGTAACATTGACTACATAAAAAAGTTAACAAAAAACTAACTGAATCCTCATCCATATCGAAAATATATATCGCAAATCCGTTTGTTTTGATAACTTATAGTAGGTAAATACGAAAAATAGATTCTACATAGACGCATCGGAAATTACTTATGACTCGACCTAATAGTTTACAATATATCAACTGTGATCTTTTTTTTTTTAATTACACATATGTCATTTATTTATAATACGTGAATATGATTATTTTTCTATTAAAATTGCTTTGTAAGTTGTTGGTAATATGCGAAATGAAAAATATAACTTTGAGTGCAAAGGAAAATAATAATTACAAAATAGATAAAATAAAAATCAAATATTAATAAGAATCTAAGATGTATCGTGGAAAGGTTAAAGAAGTGCAAAACGTTTTAACAATAGCAAGAATGAGATACTAAATTTACATATCCGCTCAATGGAAAAACGTTTACCCGACAATTTTCGTGAGATAACGTACGAAGATACTGATTTTGTGTATTCTGGAAACCATGGTAACCAGCGATACTTTTTGTATGAAGTTGGCAAACGAAACATAGAATCAAATCGTGCTATTCACATAAGAACTGAGTATATCACTTGTCACTTATCAAAAAATGCAAAAAAAAAAAAATTGAAGATATTATATTTTACATAAGAATAATAAATAATAAATTTAAGGAACAAATGAAAGTATATTATATTCACTCATATGTATAACATCATGTATATGCTTACGTGATATCAACCTAACAAATGAAATTCTAACTTATTTTCATGAATAAAAATAATTTCATGAATTAAATTTAATCAATGATACGATCATTATCATCGATACCTTTTCCCCATTTATAAAATATAAAAATAAAATTCTCCTTGCTTTAAACAAATTCGTGATGGTTTTTTTTGTTTTTTTAATATTTGGTTATTCTTATCTTTTTTCTTAATATATAAGTAATCAGTTAAATCGCGAAATTGATCACGCACACACAAACGACCTTACAATAAAAATATTTCCGTTAAAAATATTCTTTTGAAATAAATGAGTAAATTTGAATAAATAAATTGGAGTAAATTTATGAAAAAATTCTGATAACTATCAAATTATTCAAGCATCAATTAAATCACGAAATTGATCACGCACATATAAACAACGTTACAATAAAAATACTTCCGTTAAAAATGTTCTTTTGAAATACGAAGTAAATCTTAGATATTCAGATTACTATATCAAATTTAATAAAAAATGTCAAACGATTCAATTCAGTCCTGCTTCGTTATCAATCAATTTTTATCAACACATTGTAATTACTAAGAACATAATAATCGATAAAGAGAGTTAATAATTTTAGTCATAATATTACGTTATTTTAAATTACTATTATAATATTTTATTTAACAAATGTAAAAAGTTAGTAAAAATAATATTTGCAAAAAGTTGTCGGTTTTATAAAAAATGCCAAACAATCGAACTCAGTCCTGTTTCGTTATCAATCAATTTTTATCAACACATTGTAATTACTAAGAACATAATAATCGATAAAGTTGATAATTTTTGTCATAATTCTGACAAAATAATTGTGTCATTTATTATATAATAATAAAGTAAATTTAGTTATTTTAAATTACTATTAGGTCATTAAATATGACATGTCTGATTTCGAGATGAAAATAATCCGAGTAATCAGACATTTCATAGTTAATAACCTAATATTATAATATTTTATTTACCAAATGTAAAAAGTTAGTAAAAATAATATTTGTAAAGAGCCGTCGGTTTCATAAATGCATCACATAGTTAAAAACGTACATACGTATGTATACATATATACATACGCACATACACAATTACATAGTTTTTACTTTGCTCGAAAACCTGCGTTCTCGTTTTCCCATTTAAAAAACAATGTTCGTCGTGTGTAAAACGTCGCAACGCGACGCAATTTTCTCCGAGGATCACTACTTTGTTGGAATACTTTGTTTTTCCAAGTACCTACGACTATCTCGTCGTATAGGTTGGTAAACGAAAGAGAACGAAGGGAGTAGAATGAATAAGAGAGAGAGAGAAAGAAAGAAAAAAAGAAAGAAAGTAAGAAAGAAAGATATAAAGAAGGAAGAAAGGAAAAGAAGAAATAAAAGAAAAGAAATAGAAAGTACGTATTACAACGTATACGTGCACACAAATGTACTTGTACACTGAACACTACTATACTGCAACGTAAACGAAAAAATGAAAAATAATAAAAAAAAAAGAATAAAGAAAAATAAAACAATGTAACAAAAAAAAAAAGAGGCGTCCTCGAGTGGGGATGAAAAACACGAAGGAAACAAAGAAATATACCCTTTTTCCTTTGGGGCGTTTCTTCTAAGGCGATGATAATTAAGGGCTACTATCTTTCATGCTACTTTTAAAAATGAAAGCAAAGTCGTGGCGAGAAAAATCAAGAAAAGGCAAAATATCGTGAAAAGTATAACAAAAAAATAAAAAAAGAGGAAAAGTAAAACAAAAAAAAGAAAAGAGAGAAGATAGAAAAACAAAGGATTATATACACACAACATTCGTATGTTTATGCATCTTGAAGAAATCTTCGAGAATTTTCATAGTTTTTCATAGAGAAAAATCTGTGACCGTGATACGTCGTCATCTTACGACAAAAAAGTCGACTAGTTACGAGTATGAAAAAACTTTTCCCTGTCTCATCAAGGGGGCACATTTCCACCACTCGGATGATCACGCCTCGTTTTTTTCCTCAGCGTATACACATAGCCTCGAGTGAAATTCATTCTAGCTAATAACGGCCACACACGTTGGTGTGTTAGAAGAATGAAAAAGTAGTAAAGGGTGGTGATGGTAATGGTAGTAGTGGATCTTCTTTTTATTCTTACAAGAGAAAAAAAAATCACCACGACGAATTGTCCCTCGCGTTATTTGTCACAGGGGGTGGTGGTTAGTTGGTTTTTTTACCCCCTCATTGTCAGACAATTTTCTCGACGACGGTGGGAAAGCGCATACGGGAATATGGGGAAAGAAAAAAAGAAAAACGTGTCGGAATTTGAAAAAAGTAGAAAAAATAGAGGGGGATAAAAAAAAGAAGAAATGGAAAGAGGAAAAAGAAAACGTATAGAGCATATAGAACACGAGACTCTTGGCTAGTTGCCGATGGGAAAGAAGAAAAAGGCTGGAAACATGAAGAAACAGCGTGTTCGATGAGGGGGACGATGATCTTGTAGTCGTTTTTCCCCCTAGTGTGTTCTTGGCGACCACCAACGGCGAAGTGACGACGAGTTAAAAGAAAAAACTGACACGACACGACACGACTTCTTCTTACGCGAGAGTAAAGAAGAATAAAAATCTCAAAAATCCCCAACCAAAAAAAAAAAAACTAAAAATGAAGACTCACCTGCTACGAGGATAAAGACGAGTGCTGCTTCCAGCCACAGGTGTCGAGCCATTCCGAAATATATATATATATATATATCAAATCGTTTTAGCCAGTTGTTCCTTGTATTATTTTGATAAGTACTCGACGAACTATTTGACGATGCACACTTTTCTTTTATTTCCTTTTTTTTTTTTTTTTTTATTAAATCTTTTTCTCGTGTCAATTTAAAAAGATGCACTTATTAAAATAACACCACTCGTAATATTCAAAAATCCAAACTTAGAATATATTTCAATATAAAATACACAAAAAATAAGCAGCGCACCGAACTCACAACAACAATAACAATGTTTCCTCTTAATGTTTCTTTTATTAATCCATGTAAAATGATAAATCGAAGAGAGGATTTGTGACAAATAAAAAATGTTGTCAACGCGTGTTCCGTTAGGGAGATATGCCACGAGCCAACTGTCAAAAAACTTTTCTTCTCTTTCTTTTTTCCCCTCTAGTTGTTCTTCCTCTTCTTCTTCTTCACTCACAATAGTTTCCTATGAATGACACTACCCTCTCACAGGACCGAGAGAGAAGAGAAGTGGAAGGATCGGACACGCAAGGCGCCTGACCGACCGCCGAGACGGCGGCTATTCGAATTATTTTTCCCTTAAACACAACACTTTCCTTTTTTTATTTTTATTACTTTCATTCACAACTAACGAATCATCATTGAAAAATATCCTTTCAATTTTGATGACACTCTCTTTCAATTCTTCCCACGTGTTTTCTTTTTACTATCCAATTCACCTTTTTCACCCCTTTAATGTTTTTCTTATATTTTTCTCACTCGGTATTTTTTATATCCTTTATCTTTTTTGCTTTTTTTTTTTTTAATATAAAAAAGAGTAATAATAATAAAAGATTTCGAGAAAAAAAAAAGTGAGGAAGAAAGTAAATTTATCACTGAAAATTATCAATTCGAACGTTGGCAAAAGTCGCGAAAGAGACAACACCAACTAGTAACTAGAATATCGCGATTCACGAGGATGGGACTTTAAGGAGCGTTGACAGGGTAATTGAACGTATATCTGCACTGGATTGCGACGAACGAGACTGAGCGTCGCCGCGCGAAGCCGTTCCGTCGCGAGCCGCGCATGCGCAGACCGCCCTAAACTATCCCCACCAATCTCAACCCTATGAGATACCGAAAACCCCCACCCCCCGTTTCCCGCCAACGACGCACGCTCTGCTACACTTTATATATCTTTCTTTTTCTTCTTTATTTCTCTCTCTTTCTCTCTGTCTCTCTCTTCACTTTCTTCTTTCTTCTTTCTTCTTTCTTCTTTCTTCTTCTTCTTCTTCTCTTCCTATCCCACAGTTTTCATCCCATTCTCTCGCAACATCAAATCGCGCGCCGTTTCTATTCCACACCTTTCCTTTACCAAGGAGTGCCCCGTTCTTCTCTGAAAAGAATGTCTAACCAAGAAGATAAAAGAAAGATGATGATAGTAAGAGAATGAAAAAGAAATTAAATACGATAGTTTTAAATATTTATATAAGATATTAAATTTAAGATTGATACGTCTTTTTTTATTTTTAAATCGTTTTTAAAAATCATTATTGAATTGTCATAATAAATCAGAATATTTGAAATTGGATAGAAAGTAAGATTTTAAACTTAAATGATTTTTATGAGATATTATGATAAATGTTTATTTCTTTTATTATTGTTTTCAAAGGATCATTGATCATTTATTTTAAGTGAATGATTTGTATGTTTTATTACTAATTAAATGAGATTATTTGGAGAATATAGAAAGTTACTGTAAATCTTCATCTTTTTCATAAATGAAGAATTTTATTATTTTAATTGGTTAGAAAAAGGATGGATTTATTTTAGAATTGAGAGAAAATGTTGAATTGTAAAAAATTAGATTGCAATAGTCGGTAGATAAAATAGAATATTTTAATTAAATGAGGTAGAAAATTTTTCAAATAATATGATTGTTAGCATACTCGGGGAAAACTTGATTTTACTCTCCTGGAAACTTTATCTCCGCTGAGCAGATTCTTAAATTCCATTAATGTTTTTCTATAGTAGAAGAAAAAAAAGATAAATCCTTAAATACAAGATGAATGCACAATTTTATTTTACTTACTATGAAAATATTGTAACATTTAATAATTTATAATATATAAATCAAAATTGTATCTTCAAATTATTAATTAATGTTTCTTTGTATTTTTTCGTTGTTTAAATTAATCTAATTACTACTTTTCCTAATTTCCTTTTTATTTTCGTAAATTTTAGCAGAGAATTGATTAAAATGCTTAGTAATTCTTTTCTTACCTTTCATTTATTTGGATGGATGATAAATGTTCTCCTAATGATGTGAAATTCGCTGATACGCTATTATTGACTACAATCTATATACATTATACGTAATTATTCTTATGTGCTTTATTTTGTACAAATATACAGAAGCTATAATACGAAATATAAACTTCGTATTCTTAAAATAAAAATATAAATAGATGCCTCATTATATATGAAATCAAGGAGTGAACATTTAACTAATAATTTAGGAGTGAACATTTATTAACAACAATATTTTTATATACGTACTCGAAATATTTCAATACCAAATAATGGATATCAAATGCACAATTATTTTCAAATAATCCCAAAAACTAAAAATCTGATTACCCTTGCAACTTTAAACACACAACAAACAGAAAATAACGGAGTACTTCTAATAAAAGAATTAATCATTGAAACTGAACGAATTAAATCGATATAATTAAATTTAATTAACATAATACATGACATTAATAAGCACAAGACACAGAACATTTTACAGAAATACAAACTGATGATAATCATTTTGAACACCTTCTATAAAGATAAGCTTTCACTGATTATTGAAAAACTAAAGTGACCATAATTCTGAAACAAAATCAAATAATTCACATACTTGTTATTATCCTTTTTTTTATTATTTTTGTATTCCTTATTCATTACTGAATTAAGCCTGTCATAGATTTTTTAGAAAATGAATGTTATTTGATATTTAGTTTATTTGTGCCTTTATCTAAATGTTACCTTACTCCGATAATCACGTATTGACAAATTAATTTCAGCATAATCATGGTTGGTATTGATCGTCCCAGTAATTCTAATTATATTATACGTAAACAATGGTATTTCCGATAGTAATCAATTTTCGATCAATCGTACTCGGCTCTTGGGAAAACGCTGACCAATGAAAGAAAGCTATCTATTTAATTAAAATTTATCAATTGTTTTCATCGTAGTCGATATATATTTTCATTTGTTTGGTTCTTCTTTTTTTTTTTTTGTCAACGAGAATTGTTTTGTTTTCCATATCGAGTAATCAATTTAAAAAATTCAACTTTGACGATAAAAATTTCAGTAAAAATATAAATTCTTAACGTCTTTTAAAGTTTATGCAATATTTACGTATAACATAATAATTAATAAACTGGTGGATGTTTATGCACGATAAATGTGCAAGAAACGTATTATATTAGTGTACATTAAATATGCAAATTCGGGCTAAAAGTATGCAAAATATGTATATATAGCATACATAGTATAATAAGCAACGTGTTAATATATTATATTATGCAATATTAACGATAAACATATGTTCAACAATACTTTTTACAATCATTTTCGGTACTTAAATTATAGTTAACTTCGCAATAAATTATAAACTCTTATTCTATATTTAATACTGTTAATTGTTAACATTTGTATGCTAAAAATTAATTTAAATGGAGACCATGATAAAATGTAGTTCAACAACGTTCTGACACATTTATTGTTCCTCATATTTTTCCCCGAAATTTTACAAGAGAAATAAAGATATTTAAAGGGCAAAACTAAACTAAAGAAACGAACAAATATTATTTTTCTTTTATCTATTTGGATAGTGGAATGTTACGTATGCATACATAAATATTTACATAATAAAATAATTTCATTTTACACCTATGATTTTCAATGTCTATACAATCGTGGTGAGGTGTTTAAAATAAGTACTCTGATGTACATTACTATTCATATACACGGAAAATAGATTTTTGCATATGTTATTAATCATTAGAATGCAAAAACGTATGCATTATGCAGAAAATTATAAAATGAAAAATATATTTGAAGAATGCTCTAATAAAAAATCCAATTTCTATTTCAATCTTATCGATTAAATAGTATTGTATAGAAATAAAACAAAAAATATATTTGGATATTAAAATTCATTATCAAATATTGTAATAATTAGTAATCAAGCCTGAAATTACAAAATTTATTTTCCAAGCATAAATTTTGATAATAATATATACGTTTTTCAAATTTCTTCAGAGAATTGCACAACGTATAAATATATACGTAAAATATTATGAAAGTGAATTAAATAAAAATAGTAAATAAATTTTATTTATAATTAATTTGACAATAAAATAATGAATTGTAGTATAAAATAAATCAATAAATACATCAGTTTTTATTAAATATTTATTTTATAATATATTATATAGAATATTATATGTGTTAATTTCTATAGTTATATTTGTAATTGAAGGGGTAATTAGAATTTCTTTAATGGTAGTAATAATTATATTGAAAATTTAATTATATTAATATAATAAAATTTTTAATAATAATAATTTTTAAATAAGGGGTTTAATTTTTTTATTATATTATTTATAATAACTTTTATATAAATATTTATTCAACAAATTTATTAAGTGGTTCTATAAATTTTTATTCTTTTTATTTGATTTTAATTAGTTTATAAATTAGAGGATGTTTAATATAAGAAATCTTTAAAAATTGTTAATTTGTTTATTAATAAATATTTTATTTTTGTTTTTTAATATTTAATTAAGTAATATTTTATTTAATATTTGAAATAAGTTTATTACCAATTTTTTTTATAATTATGTATGGTGGTTATACAATTGAACGTTTTGAAGCTATAATATACTGTAATTTTCTATACTTTTTTTATGGTTAATAATTAAAATTTCTAATTATTATAAAAGATTAATAATAATTTTTATTATATTTAAAATATTACAGTTAGGATATATATAGAATATAATATAATTAATGTTACCAAGTAAATAATAAAATAAATTTGTTCAATCATTTCTATTTAATCCATTATTATAACTGGACCGTTTATTTAGAAAATGGTGTAAGTCCATTTTCAAAAA